TTACTGTCTAGCTCATCGCATTTGAATTCAGGTTAGCTACTTGTGTAAAATTTAACTATACTTCTTATATTCATTAAGCTACAAATAATTAAAATTTTAGATGTAACAAGTTTCAGTCGGTAAGTTAACAAGTTGTGTTTTCATCTACTAAGGTATCCTATAATGTGAATTTTTTTAAAGATTTCAAGATGTATATATTTTTAGAGCTTAGTATTCTATGTGTAATAATATATGGTTTGAAAAGAGAAGCTTACTTCATTGACAGTTCATGACAAATATTTCTGTTGCTCTTATTCATAAAATCTGCAATTCAAAAATTACCATCATTTGTATATATAATGTAACATCTCTACAAAGTGTTATATCTGAAGTAAAAACACGTCATCAGAACATTTTGTTTATTGTTTTTAATGTTTAAAGTATGATGCATTGAATAAGATGTTTCACTAACTTCAGACATTATATATTTTCGCTGAATATGATTCTCTTCTCATTATAACTCGACCAGTGTAATCTACAGTGTAGTTATCTTATTGTAACAAGTAACAACATATCACCCAGCAGTGAAAAACAAATTATATCATTTTATTCTATATACATGCATAAATAGTGTTCAATGAAATAGAAATAGAAGCTATTTCTGCTTTTTCTTTATATCGGACAACTCTTATGAAGGATAGTTTTTGCATGATATGTAATTACATTGCTGAGAACAATACTGCTATTTTAATTTATAATAATAAAAGGGCATGTCTGTGTGTGTGTGTGACCTGAGTATTATTACTTATCCACGTGCATGCATGTGTGCATCTTTTTATGGGGTAAGGTAGGAAGAAACCACATAGAAATGAATATGACCACCATATCTCTGAGAGAAAAGAGCCTAGAAACCTGAAATTTTGCACCCATGCTAAGTGGACCCTGAGGGTGTGCATGTGGGTATTATTACTTATCTCATTTTTTTAATGAGGCAAGCTAGCAAAAAAAAACATAGAAAAAGAAGTGTGATCTCCATTGCTGCGAGGGGAAAGAACCTAAACACCTGAAATTTTGCACCCATATTAAGAGGACCCTGATAGTGTGCACCTGTGTATTACTTATCTATATGCATTCACACATGTGCATGAGCATCTTTTTAATGAGGCAAGCTAGCAAAAAAAAGCACATAGGAAAGAAGTTTGACCACCATATCTCCAAGGGGAAAGAACCTAGACACGTGAAATTTTGCACCCATACTGAGGGTGTGCACCTGGTTATTACTTATCCACATGCACATCTTTTTAATAAGGCAAGCTTGTGAAAAACCACATAGAAAAGAAGTGGCTCCTTATATAACAACTTCTAATACATAGAAAAAAGCCATTGTGTTTTGGTAACAATGCATTTTAACAATGGCTTTTATATCATGTTGCTTAGCAATAAAAGTATAATCTAATACTGTGCTGAAAGTATAAAATGAAAATGTATATACTACAAAATGAAAAAATATATTTGTTTTCTTCTAACTTAGAGGCTCCATAAAATAAAGAGGTTTGTTTTTTATTATTAAGTTTAAAATTGGAGGACAAATCAGAGGGAAGGTTACCTTTATAAACAGTCCACATCCCGTAAAGGAGCAACAAAAGTATATAGGTTATACTTTTATGCTAAAATGTGTTCAGAATACACACACTGACATAGTCATCTAGAATAAATCAACCTAATAACCCAAGTGAAGCCGAGTACTTTTGCTAGTTAAATTATAAGAGTAAGTACTTGCAGTGAGTAAGAGGCTTATAGATATTTTGGTTCATTAACCCTTTCGAGACGGGTCATGGGTGAAAGG